AAGTTCATCATTAGATTATCAGCTCTGTTTTCCTAATGTGAGCACTGATTACAATAAACCACCCTTTGGAGAAAGGGTAAAAAAAATCAACTAAGTGTATACACAGGACAGCTAAGATCATTGTACCACTAATTTCTATCAGTGTTTTGAAGGTAGCAGTTAATGCTTAAAATGTTTAATTGGACTAATTTTTATGGTAATATCTGTAAACTGAGCAACTACATTGAAGACGGCAATGTGCAATAGAACAATCACTGTTCAGTACCTTTCGTCTTGTTGTTTTTTAACATGTATCTCTTTAAATTAAATTTTAAAAAATAAGGTCAGGAAAAAAATAAAGGTTTATTGAAGGAAGAGTTAATGTTCAGCTGTTTGACCAATCTTGCATGCCTATATCTGGTAATCTGAGCAACAAATTTGATGCTAACAGTATGCAATATGTTAATTTCCTATTCTTGTTTTGAAATACTATACCATTTTATTGTTTTATGTAGATTTGTTTTTGCCTTTGTTCTTTTTTTTCCATTTTTTTCCTCTTTAAAATAAAATTTACAAATCAAAATGAAATAAACTACCCTTTGGGGAATGCTTTCAATGTGCCCCATAGGTTCTGGTGTGTTGTACTGGCATTGTCATTTAATTCCAGAAATTGTGTAATTTCTTGCTCGACGTCTGCTGTGATCCACTCAGTGTGGAGGAGTGCGTTACTGTGTTTCCAGGTGTTTATAAATTTTCTATGGTTTCTTCTGTGATTGATTTCTAGTTTCAATGTACAACGATCTTATACTAAACATGGGAGATTTTGATTCTTTTGTATTTAAGTATATTTCATGGGCTTATATACAATCCATTTTGGAGAACATTTATGTTCTGCTAAGAAATATGTGTATTCTGTTGTAGTAGGTAGACCATCCTGTAGATACCTATTATGTCCATTTGTTTGAGGGTGTGTGGTTCAGCTCTGATATTTCTTTGTTGGTTTTTTATTTAATTGATCTGTGTCTTTGTGAAAGTGGGTTAATGCAGTCACCCTCTCCGACCATAATGGTGTTTATTTGATCTTTCATGCCCAGCAGTATTTTGTGAAATTAAAAGCTCCAATATTCAAAGCATATATAGGAACAAGTGTTGTCACTTCTTGATGGTTTATTCCATTAACAAATATGTAGCAACATTTTTTGTCTCCCATGATTAGTTTTAGCTTGAAGTTTATTTTATCTGTGAGTAAAACTGAAACCTTTGCTTACTTTCAAGGTCTTAGTGCATAAAATTGTTTTCCACCCTTTCATTTTCAGGCTATGAATATCTTTTTAGATTAGATGAATTTCTACAATGTAACGGACTACTGGATCATGTTTTTTATCACTTGCCAGTCTGTGTATTTGAACTGAAGAGCTGAGGCCATTTACTTTGTGAGTTAATACTGAAAGACACTGATTTGCTTGTGTCATTGAATCTTTTCCGCTGATGAAGCCTTTATTTTTCCTCTTTCGTTCAACTGCTTGCTGAGCTTGCCTGACACATTCACTCCATCTGAACTTGCTGTTGCTGTCTCTGTCTCACGGTGATAGTGAACCTTTGAGAGCTTTCAATGGTAACAAACGGCCCACTACGACATGCATGTGGCTATGTTCACCACCCCGGTCTAGGATATTCTTGAGTACTTACTGGAGTGCTGTTTTGGTGTTCATGTATCTCTTAAGGCACTGTTTGCTTTGGAATATCCTTATTTTTCCATCAATTTTGAAAGACTGTCTTATAGGATATATTAGTCTGGGTTGGAAGGTACCTCTTTTTATGGTTTAAATCCCTTTCCCCCAAACTCTCCAGCCTTTGGAGTTTGTGTTGAGAACTTTGCTGTAATCTTGCTGGATTTACCTTTATGGATGACTTTTTGCTTTTTTTCTTACAGCTTTCATGATTCCACCTTTTTGTTGCACATCTGGGGTTTTTTTGACTTTGGTTTTCTGTTTGTTTTGTTTTTTGTATTTTTAGGGAAGGCTCTACAGTGTCTTCAGGGTCTCACTACTAGATCAGACTTGTAGTAATCCACCTATTTACTGTCTCGCAAGAGCTGGGATTACAGGTGTGTGCCACCACACCCAGTCTCAATTGCCATCTCAGCATGCCCCGGGGGCAGGGCCAGCACAGCAGGCCCGGGGATCAAAATCTCAGCCCCTGCACCTGCTTACAGGTGCTTTAATCTCCTGAGCTATTTGTCTTGCCCTCTGGGGTTTTGACTTTGATGTGCCATGGAAACTTCTTTTTCATCATAGCTAAATGATGTTCCTTAAGCCTGGCTTGACTACATACAGTGCTCTTTCCTCATACTTGGAAATTTTTGTATTACAATTTCTGTAAACAGATTATTTTTATGCTTTGTGTACTGTATTCTAACTCCAATTAACCTTAAAACAGTCCTCTTGGTATCATCCAGTAGCTATTAGGTTTTTTTTCTTATTCTCTTATCATTTTTTAGGGTTCTTTGAGTAAGTTGTAATTTATCACTTTGGGGGCTGGAGAAGTAGCTCAGTGGTCTAAGTACCTGCCTGGCAGCTCAAGGACCCAGGTTCGATTCCTGGCACCACATGTCATGCCAGCCCTGGGACCCCAGGTGCACTGTGCCGGCCACTGAACCCAGGCATGGTGCTGCATCCTGTAATCCCAGGGCCGAAACAGCAGGGTCACTAGAAGTCCAAGCTGCGTAGCAAGACCCTGCACCAAATTAATAAATAAATAAATCTGATTAAAAATTTTTTAAAAATAATAATAATTTATCACTTTGTCTTTGGTTTTAGAAGCCTGTCTTCACATTGTCCATTTTGCAATTTATGAAATCTACACAATTTTTATGTATACTATTTTTGTCTCATACCTTTTCATGGCATCTGTCTCTTTGGTAAATTTGTCTTTCATATTTTGAGCCATTAGCTCTTCAAATTATTTTTTATTTGTTTCTCCCATATCTATGCCAGTCAGTTTTTATGTTAGTGTTGTCATCTTTTAGGTCACATTCCTGGAACTTGCCAAGCTTCCTGACCTCTCCTCCAACCATTTCACACATGTCTGCTACTTGGCATTTGCTTTCCCCTCCATGGCACTCCTTGGATTTGCTGTAGGAGATCTGGGGTCTTGGGGACCTTTTGTTGCCTTCTATTTTCCCATTCAAGTGTGTGCACTATGTATGTGCATGTGTGTATATTTCTTAGGTGAAGTAGAGTGAAGAAAGACTGTAACTGATACAACGATCCTTTCAATTTGATTCTGTCCAGGATCTGGAGGGGAGTGGCCACTGCACACAGAGAGTCCCGGGAGCCTGGACTGGGAGCTCCAGCTCTTTCCTCAGGCCACTACTCGGTCCACTCCAAGGATGGCTGTTCCAGTTTAGTCTCCTCAGCAGGACAGCAGTGACCAGCTATGGGTAGGATTGCACTTACCGGACTCACCAAGTCACTGTGTCTCCCTGAGAAATTGAATTCCACACAATTTTTTTCCAGATTCTTATCTCATTTGTCATTAGACTCACAGTGGCCAGTGCTCAAATATCACTGTGCAAAACATTTTCAGTTAGTTGTTAAAACTTGTGTTATTGTGAATGCAAAGGTCTTAAGCAACTAATATCTCACACATTTTAAATTTCATACAAGTTTTAAATTTTTCTTCTACTAAGTATTGAAATACCTTTCATGATAAATTTATATTTCATAAATGTTTATGAAATGTGGAAAACACTACAGAGCACCTAAGAACCAAAGTCAAAAAACCATTTAATATAAACAAGAATATTGGAAAGTTGCATAAACATTGTTAAATATATAAACAAAATTAATAGCTTCAGGTACAAGCTATTGTTAAGGGACAAAAGTTAGCTATCAGGTACACCAGACTTTTTCTCAAACACTGTTCATCCTCAGTTCCCTGCACATTCCTCTGGAGGCTCCTGGGCTCTCAGTCCTTCCTCCTCTCTGGGGATCTTATCCCAGGCCTGGCCCAGCCTCACCCAGCAGCCTGGCCTCCCTTGCATTTCCTGCACCAGCTGCTACACCTGTTCTCATCTCAGTGTATCCCTCCTGCACTCAGCCTATTCTGCAAGACTGCAGTTGAAGGAATGGTAAGCAGGGATAGAAGAAGAAAATTAAGGGATGCATGGTCGCTTGCAAGTCTGCAATCCAGGTTTAGTTTCTTCGTTCTCTCCCACCTGAAAACCGCACCTGTGGTAATTTCACTTTTGAGCAAGAAAAGAACTCCTTGAATGATGACAAGTAACCTGATTGATACTAATCTGTTCTGCACCAAGGAACTGAATTACAATTACATGTAGAGTCTAGAGAAAGTTAACATAGAGGAGCAAGTGGACCTGGGGCAGGCAACGAATTCTGAGGTGCATTTGTGAAGTTACCCAAACCATAAATAAAGGCAGGTTGCTAGAGGTGAGCAGGTCAAAACATCATGTCACACAGGACTGCTCCTCCTGTCAACATTCCTGGTGAATAACCAGGGATTCTAGCAAGGCTTTGTTCTGAATGCCAGAGCTTTAAAATGATTATCCAGAAAAATGCCTTCACTTCTTTCTGTTAGTTGGAAGAGTGAAAAAGGATAATAAAGCACTGTAAAGTTACTGGTAAGATTTTAGTTTCCCAACACACCTACTTCTCTATGCTCCTGCAAGACTGCGCCTGACACTGAACCATTTACTAGCAACCTACACAGTCAAAAAGAATCAGGCACTAGTAACTAATGCTCGCAGTATATTTAACCGCTCAGTGGCACAGCTTCTGTTTGAATATGAGATATGAGGACAAGATGGTGTGGAGGGCAAGAAGCCGCAGGGAGAGAAAAGAAGCAAGAACACACACACCTCTCGCTGGGAGAGGTGGCCCCCACACACCCACGTATCTTCAACTCTATCTCTTTTTCCCCTGGTAAAAGAAACTATGTTGGGAAACAGATTCTATCTTTGGGCATTTAATGGAAAAGTAAAACCACAGATTGTCACTTACATTTCATTTGCTTGGAGATGGACTTGTTAGGTTCAAGCCAGTGCTAGGGAGGAAAAAGAGAAGATTTGATCAAATTATTTATGTAATAACTAATAGGCATCCCAAGTTGAGGCCACAACTGGAACTGGTATTCCTCAGTGCTCTACCTTCAAAAGATGAACATAAACAGCTTGACAACAATAACACTGGCAAGGGGTGTAAATTACAGAGGGTTAATCCTTTCTGAGTAATATTTGAGTCATACAGTTACCAAGAGGACAAGGGAAAGAACATGTACTTAAGTGGGATGTTCTGGTAACACTGGTTGATTCCTAAGTGATTCTTGGAAGGCCACACAGATGGCTGAAGGTGTGGAGCATTTGACACCCCTGACTCTAAAGAGTCCAGCCTAACACAACACTGTACATAGTTCTCCTCCCAGGACAGCTTCCTCCAAGATGAATTCTGGGCCAAGTCAATACAGGGCCCATCACACACAGAAGCGATTCTTCTTTTACAATAAGAAGGAACAAATGGTTTTCAAGATCTTATTTTCAAAAGCCTGAAGTTATCAAGGAGAAAAATCAGCTCCAACACAAAACAAGGCCCAAGACCTAAGTAGCTCATGTTACTGACAGGCGGTTATTTAAACAGACACCAAACTTGTCCCAATGGCCACCTCTCCTTGAACTATACGCAAAGGTCACTCTAACACACTGAGAGATGGCTGCCTTTGCATCACTAACCATGATGTCCCTGAGGCTGCTCAGGGAATGTCACAGAGGGTCATTTTCAACACCTGCGGTGTGTGAGGAAGGTAAAAGGGCACACTGTTGGGTATCCAGCATCACGAGATCAGGGAGACCTCCCTCAGGGAGTACCTGCCTGCTTGATAATAGAGGAAAGAAGGCAAGGAGACTTGCCATCTGCTGAGCTCTTGCACCTGCGCAATCTCCCTTGGGGTGCTGCACTGTCCTTATTATTTGATGTACATGCACAAGCAGAAAGTTTAATCAAGTTGAGTGTTTACACCAAGTACCAGCTGCCCTTCAAGGGGCATCTCCACATGCTGTCTTAATTGATGAGCAAGAACACTCTGTTTACTGCTGAAAACTCCGTGACACACCTCTTCTCAGCCAGGGAATAAATGGTGATGCCGGCTGAGTAGGAGGAGTCCAGAGAGTGGGCCTGAACCTCCCAGCCCTGCACCTCCCACCTGACAGATGAGCCTGCACTGCGATGCTCTATTCTCCTTGATGAACACTCCCTGCTTTCTAGGAACAGGAAAACTGCATGGCCAAATCCTTAGTTTCTAAACTAGGATGTCAGATCTGCAGGCTTCAAAAAGCAATAACAGAACACTAGCAAAATTTCAAAAGTATGGAAAGTCTAGCCCCCAAAATCATCCATCTCCCCAACGCTGCTGCTCAGATGCATGAATACAGAAAGCATCTTTGCTTCTGGCCCAAATTATGTCAGCTCATTTCAAGAATCCTCATCATCTCTTTCTAATCAGAAATGGCACAGTTAGAATTGAGCAATAGCCAACTAATTAATTCTCTGTATCAATTTCTAGTTATATCACTCTGCAAAATGTTTAAACTCTCAATGGCTCAGATTTCACAACTGTAAAATGAGAAGAATAATAGTAAACTCACAAAGCTATTCTGAGGGCTTAAAAATTAATTTTTCAAAGTTAATAAATGTAATATATGAAATGCCTGGCATGTAAAAAATGCAATTAATGTTTGTTTTTTGGTATCACTGTTGTATTTCAGAAGTACAATTTTGAGATCCAGTCCTAGCTCAAGCCCGGTGAGTATGTGGGAGAGCTTCCAGCTACCATGCACCCACGGGACCTACTGGTCCCAGGCCAGGCACAGCGTGGGTGAGACCCTCTTCCACCACCTTGGGATGCCCTCCACCACTCTGCAGCACCTCCTCCACCCCACCTGCCCAGTAAAAATTTCTGCCGCCTTTCAGGAACCACCGGACCCAGTCCTAGCCCAGGCCCAGTGAGTGTGTGTGAGAGTTTCCGGCTACCCTGTGCCTGAGGGACATACTGGTCGCAACACAAGCATAGCGAAGGAGAGAAACTCTTTGACACCCTTGGGACGCTCCCAAAAACTCCATAGTACCCCCCACAACGCCGGCCACCAAGTAGGAATTTCTGTCGTGTTCCGGGAACCCCCAGATCCAGTCCTAGCACAGGCCCAGTGAGTGTTTGGGATAGCTGCCTCTCTGCCCTACTCCAACTTCTCCCCTCAGGACTCAGCTCAGGCCAGGCATACAGGCCTGGGGTGAGACCCTGCAGCTACAATCCCTACAGAGTGTGCAGGGGACAGAACCAACCAGCTAGTCCAGGGGCAGAACACCTTACGAGAGGGGCACAACAGGTTCACCCCCAAGAGCAGCAGCAGAAAGGAGCTGAGCACAGCAGCCAGACAGAAGCCAGGCACAGCTGGATAAATCCAAAATGTGTAGATCTGCACCTGAACTTCAGTAGGTGCTAAGGTTATAACTGCACCAATGATCTACAACAAAGGTCAGTAGACAGTGCTACAAAAAAATGACGAGAAGGAGCAAATGCAATCTCAGAAACCAAGCCCACCCATAACAAATGCAGAGGACACTAACACAGAACAAATTGGGAATCATACACCTGAAAGCAATGAATCAATGGCATGTGTAATAAAGAAACAGCTGCAGAAAGGTATAGAGGAACTCATATTGGAAATAAAAAAGAAATCCCTGAATTAATAGCATCTGCAGTAAAGAATCAAATGCAGAAACATATGGAGGAAACCCAATTCCCATCCAGAACAAGTGCAGAGGACACTAGCTCAGCTCAAATGTATGAATTAATAGCATCAATAGTAAATAAGCAACAACAGAAAGTTATAGATGAACTCAGAGTGGAACTTTCTGAAATAAGAAAAGAATTCTCAGAACTCATAGAATCTGAGGTAAAGAATCAACTACAGAAACATAGGGAGGAAACCCAATCTGAAAAAAACACTGCAGTAAAAGAATTTATAACTGCTTCTAAAGAAGATACAGATTAAAAAAAATAGAGGACATTAGAAAAATGACAGATACCTTGAATGAGCAATACAGGAAAGAAATAGATCGCAAGAAGCAGAGTAGAGATATAGAGGAATTTAAAATCTTAATCACAAGCTTACAAAACCATTTAAGTGAAAGTGAAGACAGAGTTACAGATCTTGAAGATGCTGGTGCAACAAGTGAAAAGGTAAGAAAGGATCTCTTAAAAACAACTAGGATGAGGGAAAAAATAATAAATCACCTGAAAGATGATGAAAGATGAACCATGTGAGATTAATAGGCATCAATGAGAAAGAAGGAGCCAATACAAATGACATTTAAAAAATATGGGCAGAAGTAATGGCAGAAAACTTCACAAATATGAGGAAACAATCTGACATTCAGGTAACCGAAGCATACATAATGCCAAGTAACCTCAAACCAATTAAAACCATATCAAGACATATAATACTTAAGATGCCAGGAATTCAGCACAAGAATAATATACAGAAAGCTGCTAGAGAAAAGCAGACCACACTCAAATGAAAACCTATTAGAATTACAGCAGACTTCTCTTCACAAACCATGAAGGCAAGAAGAGCATGGAGCAGAGTACTTCAAGTCCTTGATGAAAATAAATTCCATCCCAGAGTACTATACCCTGAAAAACTCTCTTTCAAGTTTGATGGAAGAGTGAAATACTTCCATGACAAAGAACTAAAGAATTTCATAAAAAAAAAAAAAAAAGAATTTCATGATGACAAAACCAGCCCTACACAGGCTACTCAAAGATGTTCTAGAGAGAGACCAAAATGATCAGAAGCACACGAATGAGATCAGAAGCAACCAACTAAATAGGGCAAGCAATTAAACACAGGAGAAAAAGGA